GAGATGGTAGGAACGGGCCCAAGGACAGAATCGGACACGCAGTTAATTTCTCTGCGGGCTCTGACCCTGCTGCTCCCTCCCCATAGGACAAAGCTCTGTGACCCTCACTTGGGATTGACTGTTCTTCGAGAACCAGTCTGTCTGTGTGTAAGATGGAGCCCCTCCATCTCCGGGGTAACTGTTTTCCCCAGGGAAGCACAGCTTACTCCTCTTCCCGATGGACCACTCATTTCCGCCAAAGTCAGGGGCGGAGCGGGGCGCTGATAAGCATTCCCAGTTTGAAAGCTGAGATTAAGCTCCAGCAGCGACTCCAGATTGCTGCCCTACGGGAGGATGTGTCTTTATCGGTCAAGTCTGGGTCTCGGTTGGCGTCCTTGAAAACTTTATTGTTTGCTAGGGCGTGTCTTTCTTAGACCGAAAGTAAGCATGCCAGACGTTTACAACGAAAAACTCAGTAGCAAAGCATCCCAGGAAGGTTGTGTAGTACAAGGGTTAAACTCCAGAATGCCCCCCTCCCTCCATCCCTCCCTTCCTCTCTCTTTGTTTTCTGGGGGGGGGGAGGGTTGTTTTTCGAGACAGGGTTTCTCTGTGGCTTTGGAGGCTGTCCTAGAACTAGCTCGTGTTAGACCAGGCTGGTCTCGAACTCACAGAGATCCGCCTGTGTCTGCCTCCTGAGTGCTGGGATTAAAGGCCTGCGCCACCACCGGCCCTTGTATTCTTAAAATTAGTTCCTGTTGTCTGTGGGCAATCTTTAGGGAATCCTGAGAAATTTGAGATAATGGTCAAGTCCTAGGAAAAGTAGCTGTAACATTTGTTATATAGTCTCTATGTAATGGGAAAGTGCAGGGCTCATCTGAAGTCCTGGCCAGAGTACTCTGTGAGGCTAGGCTATTCCAGCTAGCAGCTTTGAAGTTCTCCTCCTGAGCTCAGACAACGGCGAAAGGTGTGCGCCCGATTCTGAATGCCTCTTAATAGATGAGTGACCTTGAGTACAATATTTAGCATCTTTGAGCCTCTATTTTTATCTTGAGTGTGGCTGTGAGGATTAAATGATAGAATCCTCAGGAAATGCTTAGGGATTAACAAATGTAGTGTGCTAAGTAAAAGGCAACAAACCCTCGTGTTACTGAGCCAAGTGAATGAGAAACCATGTTAGGAATTTCAGATTTTCTAAGGAGGAAAATGTATCCAAGAAACAGGGTTCTTCTTCCTCCTTCCTGAAGTCTATGGATGGAGAGGCAGAGAGGGAGAAGGAATAGTGTGGTGATATATTATTTATATGATATATGATTTATTAAAGCTTGCCTGAGGATTCAGAATGCAAAGTCAGCCACAAACAATAGAAACCAGACACACACCTTTAATCCCAGGACTCAGGATTAAGAGGTCGACTGAGTTAAAGGCCACTCACAGCTACAAGAGATATATCCAGTCCTAAAGAGAAACAGCTTATACAAAAATGATCTCAGCATCTGGGATCACATGCCTTTAATCCTAGCACTAGAGGGGTATAAAAGATAGGGGCAGGGTCTTCAGTATCAGATATTCATTCTCCAGCCACAATGAGGATAGGAAGGATTCATTCTCTAGCCACATTAAGGATAGGAAGACATTCAGTCTCAGGATTCTCCAGCCACGCTAGGGAGAGGCAGCAGTCTGAGGTTTGGTGGAGCCAGAATCACCTCTCACTCTGAGGTAGAGTAAGAGCTAGTGGCTGGCTGCTTTGCCTTTCTGTTCTTCAGCTTGAAGCTTGAGCTCCAAAACCAGTCTCTGGGTCTTTTATTTTTCGTGTTACAGAATAGCCTTATTAACCACATGGTGACATACTAGAAGGCTTTTAAACCTTTCAATGGCCATTTTGCCCCTGTCATATTTTTCAAGCAAAGGTGTATGGGCCCCAAATAGGTGGAGTCCTCAGTAACCCAGTGTTCCAAAGAGCAGAGTGTTCTGGTGTGCTGGCTGTACACGCCTTACCCTTCTTCACATAGAGCCATAAGGAATGCAGGTGGATGCTTTCGTGTCTGGCCATTGTTGTGACCAGCTTTTCTGGCAAGCACCCTTTCTGGCAAGTTGACCTCTCACAACTTGGGACAAGGGAGTGCTCAGGAGGGGCAGGGTTGTATTTCTAGCTAACTTTGGGGAACAGGTGATCTACGAAAGGAGGATATCAGTGGGCAGCTAATTCTGGAGAGTGCAGGATGTAGCAAGTAGAATAGGGCATTGTGTATGCTTTCATTTCCAGGGAACAGTTTTGGTTTTCTTCATATTTGTGTGTTAAAGTGTCAGATGGGAGGGATTAGGGGTAGGAGAAAGTTTGTCAGAATGAAATCAAGATGTGAATATTTGCTGCCCAGACTGGGGCCTGTGGGACCAGACACTGCAATTCCACACCTGCCCTCCAGGACCTTGGCTCTGTTGGCAACTGCCCTGTGAATAGGGACTACTGAAAGAGGAACAGGCTCATTGGGAGGCTTGGTTAATTTTGTAAAGGCTGTTGTTGTTGGATCTAGACTTCAGTGTTTGCTCTTTATAGATAGGCAGCTGGCTGTTTCCATAACATCTCAAGGTGGTCATATTCTCAAGGTGATATTGACAGTTCACCCAACTCAAAACTCATCTTTGTTCACGAAAGGGGAAAAGTGGGACAGGAGCAGGGTAAGTCTTTATCTCAGCAGGAGAGCTCATTTTCTTCCCAGTAGGACAGTGTTCTTAGGAAACAAACAGTGCTGAATGCTTAGACTTACTCGCTGGAAATCTGGAGGCCCTTTGGATTTGAAGGGTTGCATCTTCCAAAAGGTCTTTCATTGTCCATTGGACCCGGTCTGAAAACTGCATGTCTAACAGAACATTCTGCCATGACAGAAAACTCCTGGTGTTCTGTCCAATATGGCAGCCCTGGCCCTCGCCTGGCTGATGACTGCTTGAAACATGGTTGCTATGATCAAGAAACTGAGTTTTAAATTTTACTTAATTTTGTTTTAAAATTGACACCTAATTCCATTATTGGGATAAAAATTAAGTACAGGAGCTAGTGAGATGGTTCAGTGGGTAAAAAAAGCTCAAGCTATCAAGTCTGAGTTTGATCCTCAGGATCCACACAGTAGAAGACTACTGACTTTATAAATTCGTCCACACACAGGATAAGTAAATGCCATTAACAACAAAAAAAAGGCATACACATATCTTTTGAGTTGCAAATCTTATAAAATTTAAATATAGGACAAATACTTCTGATGAAAACTTAATGTACAAATTGAGATCTGATACACACAGCAGATTTTAAAGACAGTATAAAAAAGAATATAAAAGAGTATACTAATTCTTGTTTATCTTCTTACATATTAAAACCATAATATCCTTGGTTGACTAGCTAAAATACAACATTGAAATCAATCTTAGCTATTGTGTTTATGTTTTAGTGTGACTAGTGGGAAGTCCAAAATGGTGAATGTGACTCGTGTTACATTCCTAATGGACAGCACTAGTATGCATATAAGAAATGTTCTTTACTGCAGGGTGTTTTTGTAGGCTAATTTTTGAAATATTGGTTGGTGATAGAGCTCAGTGAAAGAGCACATACCTAACAAGCATGAGGCCTTGTAAAGAGACACCATGTCTATTGCAGTAAAGAGACACCATGACCACAGTGACTCCTATAAAGGAAAATGTTTAATTGAGGTGGCAGCTTACAGTTCAGAGGTTCAGTCCATTATCATCATGGCAGGTAGACATGGCAGGTGCTGGTTACATCTTGATCAGAAGGCAACGGGAAATGGTCTCCCTGTCGCACTGAGCAAAACTTGAGCAAAAGAGACCTCAAAGCCTACCCCTACAGTGACACACTTCCTCCAGCAAGACCACACCTACTCCAACAAAGTCATACCTCCTAATAGTGCCACTTTCTTTGGGGGCCATTTTCTTTCAAACCACCACAGACTTGAACTTACTTATCCGGCTAGGCTGACTGGCCAGTGATTGCATGTCACCTTGCCTGGTTCTTTTATGTGCGTTCCAGGGATCAAACTCCAATCTTCATACGTGCAGAGCAAACACTTTACAAACTGAGTCATCTCCCAAGTTCCTGATTAATGCTTTCTCAGAGAAGGCCATATTCACTCAGAAATTTAGCTTCCCAAAGTATCTTGAATAGTGACAAAAAGCAGAGCCAAATGTTCTGAAATACTTAATTCCCCCCTGACTTCTGTTTAGTCTTGGTCACTGCCAAACAGGTCTTTAAAGGAATAAAAATTTTAAAATACTATTTACAGTTGGTTCACCTTTTAAATTGATTCCACTCTCAGGGATTCAACCAATTATAGAATAAAAGGTATTTGAAGGAAAACAAACAACAAACCTTTATTGAATATGTACAGACTTTCTTCATTGTCAGTATTCCCTAAACAATATAGTACAATAACTTCTCCTGGA